TTGATGGCACTGACACCTCCCAGGTGTATGATCTTAAGAGGAGAATCTCCCGTATGCGACAAGGGGGAGGCTCGATTGAAACTTACTACAATACTCAAGAAACCTGTTTTAAATTACATGGCTATCCAGAGTGGTGGGAGGGTCTTAAGGCTCGTAAACTTGCTGCTGGAGGAACGGGCCTTGTCACCACGGATCCTCCGATAACGTTAATTCCTCATGAGGAGTCTACCTCAGCACCAGAAAAGAACGGGTCATCTTTCAGTGACTCAGGTAACTGTGGATATGTATTTCATACTTCATATACAAGTGACTCCACAGGTTGGATTATTGATTCAGGAGCCACAGATCATATGACGTTTGATCCAACCGATTTTCTAAGTACAACCACACCACAACGAACAAGTATTGCCAACGCAAATGGTGTTACCTCTCCTGTAATCGATGCTGGAACTATTGGCCTCTCTCCATCCCTTTCTCTTCAAAATACTTTACTTGTTCCATCATTGTCTAATAAATTGATGTCTGTTGGCCAAGCTACTGAGCAACTAAATTGTTGTGTACTCATGTATCCCAACTTCTGTTTATTTCAGGATATTCTCACCAAGGAGATCATTGGTCGTGGTACTAAGAGAGGGGGGTTGTACTATGTGGATGATTTCAGTATGGGAAAGGCACATAGTGTGAAGCACTCATCAACTTGGAAGGATCGACAACTTTGGCTATGGCACCGACGTTTGGGGCATCCGTCTTTTGGCTATATGAGACATCTATTTCCAGATTTGTTTTCGAATTCCTGTACCACTGATTTCCAATGTGATACTTGTATCTTAGCCAAGAGTCACAGAGTCTCTTATCCATCAAGTACAAATAAAAGTGTTGCTCCATTTGCTTTGATACATTCTGATGTTTGGGGTCCTTCACCTATCTCTACAACTTCTGGCTTTCGGTGGTTTATTACCTTTGTGGATGATTGTAACCGCATGACTTGGCTCTTCATGATGAAAAATAAAACTGATGTATTCCCTATATTTCAGTCATTTCACAAGCAAATTGAAACTCAATTCTCTACCAAGATTCAAGTCCTTTGTTCTGACAATGGAGGTGAATATGTCAACCATGATTTTCAGAACTACTTCCAAATGCATGGCATCATCCATGAAACCACTTGTCCTCAAACTCCCCAACAGAATGGTGTTGCGGAACGAAAAAACCGACACCTCCTTGAAACAGCACGAGCCCTTTTGATTGGAGCTCATGTTCCTCGCCACCATTGGGATGATGCTATAGTTACTGCAGTCTACCTCATCAACCGAATGCCATCCAAAGTTTTAGACTTCCGGACTCCATTACAAGCACTTGCCCAACAAGGGCCTTTGCCCTCCGTTCAGATGCTTCCGCCCCGAGTCTTTGGTTGTGTGGCATTCGTTCACCTCCATAAGAATCAACGTGGCAAACTTGATCCATGTGCTCTTAGATGTGTTTTCGTAGGCTATGCCACTCATCAGAAAGGATATCGGTGTTATCACCCCTCCAGCCGTCGTATGTATGTCACATTGGATGTCACCTTTATGGAGTCTGAGATGTTCTTTCATGATCCGATGAACAAGGAGGCTTTGGAAATTCAAGGACCTGAAGATTGGAGCACAACAAACCAAAGCAATGAAGTTGAGTTTCGGAATCGGAGCCAAGCGACCGGTCGCTATCACGTACTGAAGCTGAAATTTCAACTCTGCCAAAAACGACCGGTCGCCAGGAGCCCAGCGACCGGTCGCTTCCAAGCGCTAAAACTGAGTTTCGAATCTGTCCAGAAACGACCGGTCGCCAGGAGCCCAGTGACCGGTCGCTTCCAAGCGCTGAAGATGAGTTTCGAATCTGTACAAAAGCGACCGGTCGCCAGGAGCCCAGCGACCGGTCGCTCCACAGCAGAGAGCACAATATTTTTTCCTACTTCGCCGACGATAATGATGAAGACCCCCCTCACATCTCAGTACCAGCTGATCAATCTCCTGAGAATACTCCTGAGGTACGTGATTCTACTACA